TGATCTGGTCAAGGTATTGGATTGTTGATTCAACTGCTTGACCCAATAGTATATATATATATATATATATATATTAAAAATTATATATATACTCAAATACCTGTAAAAAAAATGATATCACTTTCAAATATTTTAGTATGAAAAATAATAAATTACACGTCATTATCCAACAAAATATCAATCAAACATATAATACTTGTGATACTAATATTTCAGGTTCAGTAGACAATATCTCTAATATAAATCAATCAAAATTTACTGCATATTGCATAATCAAAATAATAATTAGTATTGTAGGTATATAATATATGTAACTAAATAAGCAATAGATTACTCAAATATTTCAAAAATAAATAAATCATTTGTGCATAAGAATAAAAAAAAAAGACATTAATTAATGAGAACAAAATTTATTTTTTTATGAACCAGATCAGATTATAAGTTTTATAAAAAATGATCACATCACATCAGTTCCATTACTAACAGTCCAATATAAAAATCCGACTAATTATATAACTGATTCACCCACAGCAATGAATCGTGAAGTAGTACGTTCCCTAATTCAATTACTAGTCCAGTTTTTAAAACTTTTTTTTTTGGGTAAATAAAACATTTATTCTTTTAATAAGTAATGACAAGATATTGTGTATGTTCGATTTTGATTAATTTTTAAGAAATTTTTTTTTTAAGATATTTAATAAAATTCTCCAATTTATTTAAAATACAAAATAAAATAATCAAACCATATACAGTGGATTATGTTTGTAAAATTACTTTTTTCGTTCACATACATGAAAAGGGAAGCTCAATAATCTTCATTTCCTAAAGCGAAACATAAAATCTAAATTTTTCTTTAAAAATCCTAATCTAATTATCTAAAAAAATTAGATATGTTTAGTAATTAAGAAAATCATAAACAAACAAGCCCTGATTATCTTAACATCTACATATTTTTAATAAAAGATAAAATAATATGAAGTATATATAGAATTGTTAGGAATTCTTGTGGGTTCACTCCCAATCTTAATGTTACAACCATTCATCTTACTATTAAATTGTTTTAAAGCAATTCAATACATATGTTATAAACTATAAATAACTATCATTATCCTTACTACTTATTACAAGCAGAAATAAGGTCGTTGGCAGTGTCCATACAATTAATGCGAGATTGACTTGCAAAATGGCATTTTGCCTTTGGAAGCATAGGAGTTAAAGTAGCGTCAGTGTCAGCGATTTAGTCCACATGATGATCCCCTAAATTTCAAATTTAGAAGAAGGGCAGGGACCAATGTACCATTGAGGTTAAGGACCAATCTTTCTTCTCTTAGTCTTAGGATGCGTAGGTCAATCTTTCCAAAATCATTTTTTTTTCAAGAATAGAAATAAATAGAAATAGTATTTGATAAAATTGGTTTATTTTTTTATTTTCGATAATGAACCGATTCAATTTATGTGCTGGGAAATAAAAAAAAAAATTATTCTCGGGCACAAAATAAAAAACACTTATCTCTCTCAATCATTTTCCACCACTACCATCACCACCACCATCCTGATACGACCACTGCCATCATCATTGCAATCGTCGTCGTCCCACCACTGCTATCGTCACTCTCACCGTATCATCACTGTCACCAACGACGAACCCACTTGGTTGCACTTGTGTGCATTTGCACACACAAACTTGAGAAAATTCTTTTTTTCCACATGGGTGGGTAATTTAGATCAAGTAAAAAAAATGAAAATTGAAGGTAAAAAAAGATAAAAATAGACCCAATCCAACCAACCACTATAATTAAAAACTTAAAGCTTAAACTCTAGCCCATTGTTTTTCAATTTTATTTTATTTAAACATAAACCTTATTAGCTCTAAATCTTAATAGACATCAACGATTCCTAAAATTCAATCTTCATCTAGTGGAGGAGAATCACACGTGATTTTTCATTTTTTTTGTGAAGCAAAAGTGGCCAACTTTGGATCAAATAGACATCGACAGAGGTGAATTTTTGATCGATTAACCCCTACAATTATACTATATTTTACAAATATCTTTTTGTGATTTTTTTAATTATCATTATCGATTATTTATTTAAAACCTTGATTGATTCATCAAAGTTTTACTTTTGAAGTGAAAGCAAAAATTGGATCATGATCATAATCTTTAAAAAAAATTCAGGGGCACTGCCCCCGCCTTAAATGTGCATTCATAATTTTTTTTCCCTAGGTCCGCCACTGGCTATCACCACCATCATCACTACCATTACCACGTCACCGCTACCACCATGCCACAACTACCACCACCACACTATATGAAAAGGAAAGTGATGATTTGGAAAAAAATATGCTGAATAAAAATGATTTTTTATTTTATTATTTGTTATGTTATCAAACGCAATTCTCATTCTTGGAACGAAAATATAACATGTTATCAAACATATTTTTTTTCTTCATAAAATATTACAAGGCACATAAATGAAAAAAATTATTTCTTTTGAAAAATGATCTCAGATTCTAGAATGATTGTTACACCTATTGAATTAAAATTTCTCATTTTGTGCACGGAAATAAAAAAAGTAAAAAAAAATGATTATTTTCTATTTCCCAGTATAGAAATTGAATTGATTTATTCTCATAAACAAAAAATAAATCAATTTGATCAACCATTATTTCTATCCATTTATGTCCTCAAAAACAAAAATTGAAAAAAAAATGATTATGAAAAGATTGTCACGTACATCCTTAATAAACTTTTTCCCGACTATTAGTTGTTCAGGATTTAATAGATTTATTTAGTATTTCTTATTTAAAAGGTAGTAATCAACACCAAAATAGACGTATACGCACACCTACTTTGTAATAAAGGAATTTGAATTCACATGAGGAAACTATACCTCAAATACATAAATAAGTGTATAAAATATTTATTCTTATCTAAAAATCTTTATTCTAATATTTTAAGATTTAAATAGATAATATAAATCAACCATAAAAATAACTACACACTAATATTAATTAAGCTCCACTAATAACTATCATGTATCCTTTGGCAAAGTTAAAATTTAAATAACAAAATAATCACCGATTACTTAAACAATCCAATAATCCTGAAAATAATAAAAACAACTGTAATATGTGCTTACCCAATGTGATTTTACTTAACTGTTATATCATGGGTAGGGGTGGCAATATGGGTTGAGCCCGGCGAGTCAACCCGCCAAAACAGGGCGGGTTGGGTTGAGATTTTCAATCCACCAACCTATCTCAACTCGCCCCGTCTAGAAGTGGGTCAAAACGGGTTCAACCCGTCGCGGAGCGTGTTGACCCGCCGGGTTATATATATATATATATATATTACAATTAGGTAATATTTCATTAGTCCTTAAATTTTTGTGATATCCAAAAATATTTTTTATCTTAGTACTTCCTAAAAAAATAAAGAATAACAATTTTATTTATGACAAATGTTATCTATATATAAATTCTTAAAGAATGTTTGACAAATTTTAGTATACATTTAAGATTGAGACTAAAAAAATATAGAGGAAGTGTGAAATAAAATAAAATAATATTAGAAAAATTCATAAAATATAATTTATTTTTGAATTTTAATTAATTTTTTTTAATTGACGGGTTGATGAGTTGATCTGCCAACCTATCATAAAACAGGATAAACTTATTTTTCCAACCCTTATTTTTTGGCGGGTCAACCCGTCCTATCTCATTTTTGACAAATTGGTGGCGGAGCGGGTCAACTCAAATTATCACGGGGGATAAAAATCACTATTAAGAAGCCAGCTACTTTGTGGGGCCACTAAAAACACTTTAAATTTGGGGATATGATATCTAATCTTTGAAGGGAAGTGGATAAATAAGTAGCTATAGGAAACGTGTCAAACTATAACTGGCTGACCCAGGATCTTTCATCTTGTTGTGGTTTGGCGGAACCCACGGAATGTCAGTGTGAGTATGACGTGGAGGATCTTCGACCTAGTTAACCTGTGTGGTGTGGGATACTTAACTCGCTGTATGAGGTTGCTCAATGCGTTCTTAGCCACTTACGTCCATTCTGCCATTCAACCATGTCCCCTGTTCAACAACTCACTTATTGATTGGTTGACACTTGATATTTCGCCTGAGAAATTATTTCCGATTATTTTTACTTAAATCCAGTAGTAACTTATTGACAAGGGATAGAATAAACCTAATCACCATATTTATATAGAGTTTAATATTTTTTATATTGTAAAAATTAATTTATTTCTTATATATACATAAAAAATATATAAGAGAATATTATACTTACTATTATTTTAGTATTATTATTCTTACTACCTTGTTGATTATTGTTAGATAAAAAAATTAATTACTATTAATTTCAAATTAATCCAACGATAACCAATCAGGTAGTAAGAATAATAAGATTAAAATATAGTAAATATAACTGCCTCCTAAATTTTACATATTTTTATGTATATGAAATAGATAAATTTATTTCTTATAACACGATTAAAGCCATTTATTAATATGTTAGTTATAACTTTTTTTTTTTGGATACAATGGTGAAAATTACACATGTAACATATTACAAATTACTCAAATCTCTTGTGACTCTGGACCAATCCTAGTAGCTTTGTTAATTTTAACTTTTTTGAAACATACACGAAAAACATTCTGCCACTCGTATATGAAGGGATGTATTTGACGCTAACAGAATTTATTTCAATGGATATAAGTTCTGCAGGCGCCAATATAATAAATAATTTAAAGTAGCTGAAAATGATCACAGTATGTCTTCCAATAACGGATATGGTTGTCACTGATAGTTAATGGAAAACATACTCCCCAGAATATGCATATCCATACAGATGTCGTGTCAGAAATTTAAAGAAAATATGGAAGCTGCAGAGATAAGATACAAGGTAAGATAAATATAACTTTTTTCATTTTAATGTCTCTCTCTAGAGAAAAAGGTAGAGCTTGTGGATTATATGTAATTAAGCTTACATCATTGTGCAAGGTGAAATTGAAATAATGGGAACTTGTTGTCTGCACTATTCCAAGCAGATTAAAATGGAAAGAAGCAAGGGGGGAAAATGACTTAGAATTTGGAATATTACCTTGAAAAGGGACCAAAACCAATTAACATCATAAACATGGACCACGATCACATCAACTCATGAAGATTAAATCATAATAAACAATGAACAGCTACAGGGTTCAAAATCTCTCCTTATAATAGCCCCCAGCCATGCAAACCATTGTTTATCACAGTCTCATCTATTTCATTCTCTTTCTCTACTCTCTTTCATTCCAAGTCCCTTAACCAAAACCAACAACATAACGTTCATGGCGGCTACCAATAGACTCTCTCTTGCCATGGAGAGAACTGGGCAATGGTACACACCACACTCCACTCTTCTCCATTTTCAAACCCGTCATGCACATACTTACTCTCTATTCTATTATGCCATTTTATGAACCGATTAATCTAATTATTGCAGGGTTTTCTGTCAAGATATACCAACTGATGTTATAGTTGAAGTTGGAGAAGCAAGTTTCGCCCTCCATAAGGTACCGTTATTAAAACACATCTTGTGAAGTGAATGATCGATAATATTATTCAATATGTGTTTTTTTTATGCATGTTACTGAAAAAGAGTATTGAAATGGTGGGTGCAGTTCATGCTAGTGGCAAAGAGCAACTATATCAGAAAACTGATACTGGAAGCAGAAGAGAGCGAACTCACAAGAATCGACCTCTCTGAGATACCTGGAGGTCCTGGAATCTTCGAGAAAGCAGCCAAGTTCTGCTACGGCGTTAACTTCGAGATCACCGTACAAAACGTCGCCGTTTTGCGCTGTGCCGCCGAGTTCCTCGAGATGACTGATGAGTACTGCCACAACAACCTCGCTGGCCGGACAGAGGATTTCCTCTCTCAGGTAGCGTTCTTCACTCTTACCGGCGCCGCCACCGTCCTCAAGTCCTGCCGCCACCTTCTTCCCTATGCTGACGACCTTAACATTGTTAAACGCTGCGTCGAAGCCGTCAGCGCCAAGGCTTGCAGCGAGGCTAATTTCCCCAGCCGGTCGCCGCCGAACTGGTGGACGGAGGAGCTCGCTGTTCTCGACATCGATTTCTTCGGGAGAGTCATCGCCGCCATGAAGCAGCGCGGTGCCAAGGGTTTGATACTTGCTAGCGCGCTTATTACCTACACAGAACGAGCGCTGCCGGAGCTTGTCCGGGATCACTCCGGCAACAGAAACCGGTCGTTAGATCCTGCCGATTCCGATTCCAGAGTCAAACAACGGAAGCTTCTGGAGTCCATCGTGGATCTCTTCCCCTCTGAGAAAGCTGCTTTTCCGATCCACTTCCTTTGCTGCCTTCTCCGTTGCGCGATCTACCTCCGTGCCTCCACCGGCTGCAAGGGCGAGCTGGAGAAACGGATCTCGGCTATCCTCGAGCACGTTACGGTGGATGACCTCCTCGTGCTGTCGTTCACCTACGACGGCGAGAAACTGTTCGATCTCGAAAGCGTACGGAGGATCGTATCAGGATTCGTGGAGAAGGAAAAGAGCACGGCGGTTTTCGCCGCCGGTGACTCCAAAGAATCTTGCTCCGTTTCGGTGCAGCGCGTGGCCAAGACCGTTGACGCGTACCTCGCCGAGATCGCAGCGTACGGCGAACTCAGCATCTCGAAGTTCAACGGAATCGCTGTCCTCATTCCCAAACACGCGCGTAAGGTCGACGACGACCTATATCGCGCCGTGGATATCTATCTCAAGGTACGGAATAGCTTATTCCCGTTCCCAAACAAGGAAATTGTCACTTGTGTTACAAAACGACAACGTTTAATTCCTTTTTCTGTTTTTGTAGGCGCACCCGGAGCTGGATGAGATAGAGAGAGAGAAGCTGTGCAGCGTGATGGACCCGTTGAAGCTGTCGTACGAGGCGCGTGTACACGCGTCACAGAACAAGCGTTTGCCGGTGCAGATTGTGCTTCACGCGCTGTACTACGATCAGCTGCGGCTGAGGAGCGGGGTTGCCGACGGGGACGCGGCGGCGGAGAGGAACCAACTACAAGCGGATGTGTCGCTGGTGAGGGAGAACGAGGAGTTGCGAACGGAGCTGACGAAGATGAAGATGTACATTTCGGATTTGCAGAAGAACGGTGTTCAGGGAAGTGCAACGACGTCGTCTGTTTCGACCAAGAAAACCACGTTTTTCTCCTCAATGTCCAAGAAGCTGGGAAAGTTAAACCCGTTTAGAAATGGGTCTAAAGATACGACCCATATAGAAGAAGATGGGCATGTGGATTTGACCAAGCCCAGAAGGAGAAGGTTCTCTGTTTCTTAGAATTAGGTTCTTTTGTTCATAATTTCATATATTATCAGTGTGCTAAAAGCCCCACATATGCAATTACGTTTTGTGTAGCTGCACGTTAGTTTACTAGTTTCTTCGTGCTTAGTTTTCCTGGGGTTTTATTGAACAGTTTTCTGATTGTATCTCTTTTTTCTTCTTCTTAATATTATGTTGTGTAAACAATTTTCTTGGACTATTACTCCAGCTCAAACTGAAAATCTTCAATATAAAATTGTGTGAACAATTATTGCTAAAGAAGTCACGTTTCATGAATGTACCGTTTGGATGACTTTTTAAAAATAAATAAATTGAGTTGTTATTTTTTATGGGAAAAAGTGTTTGTCATCTTAAGGGATATAACTTTGTATCATTTTGGATCTTAACCGTTGAATTCCGACGATCAACGATTATAATTTATTAAAAATTATTAATTAATTAATAAATTTGATCAAATAAATTATAATCTTTGATTGATGAAAATCAACGATTAAGATCTAAAATGACACAAAATTATATCCTTTAAAAAGATAAATATTTTCTTCTTTAAAAGTCAAAATCATTTTGGGTTTGAATAAAAAAATATAAAGTAACAACATTATTTGAATGTTAAAAAAATAAAATAAGTATGAAATTATTGAAAAGGACATTGTAAAAGTGCTTTTTTTCACAATTTATTTGAATGAAAAGAACTTTGTACAATGACAAAAAAAATAGTAAATAAATTATAATAACAATATAAATTAATAAGCACCAGTGAAATGTAACTTCAACTTAATTATATTACAAGCATAAAATTAATATTAGTCTTATCATAAGTTTATAAAAGCTATCAATGTACTTGCGTTGACAATTGATTTTTAATATCGTCTCTTGTTAGTTATATTGATCTAATTGACTCTGTACTTAGCTCTTGATATTAAAAATCAAGAGATGTTCTACTTGGCCTTGAACTAATATCTAAGGTTTAACTAGCATTGATGTTCTACGGTTTAGTTTTGATACCTAACTAAACAAAATTAAAATACATATTAGTGAATCCTATTTTGCATACTATTAATCTACCATAAAAAATCAGATATCAATGTATACCTCATTCCAAATAAAATACTTACTTAAAATTTAATTTAAACTTACTAGGTAATACGTTTCAAGTTAGTTTTAGAATTTATCTACAAGAATACTAAAATAATAAGATTTCAACCACGAATGCTATTATGTGGAGAAATCTTTTTTTTTTTACTGAAGAGACACTCTACACTTCCTGAAATAGACTTCTTTTACCATATGCATTATAACTCTTAGAATCACACATGGTCCGATAATATCACAAATTTCTAAGTGCATGATCATACATTAATATTTTCTAATTTTCCAGAAACAACTGAGGCAGTTTTATTTAACTCGTCTTCAATTGATACGTAATGGTAGCATTTTCAGCGATTTAATTGATTCAAGATGTATAACGTAAAATCGCCTTCAAATGTGTACTAGGGATGGTTAAAATAACCACATCCATTTACTATTCAGATACAGTTATATTAAAATCATTTTTAATTGGTGAAATCATAACTACCTTCAAATGTATATTAGACGCGATTAAAATAATCGTTCCATTGATTATTTAGAGGCGGTTAAATTCTGTTAAGTATTATTTTTGAAAATATATGTATGTTCATACTTTAAATCTTTAATTTCATTATTTTTATGAATTTTATTTTCTTAAAACCAATTATCGTAAACCAACGAAGGAATTTCTTTGGTGACATGCATAATTTCTTTTTGTCATTCGATCTTTTCAATCGAAGGAATTATCGTAAACCAATAGTCGTTTTTGTCATTCGATCTTTTCAATCGAAAATATTAAAAAAGATAAACATAATTTCTTTTTCATTTTTCTTATACAGATAAACAACTTTTCCAATTCCAAACCCTATTCCCCCAAACCGTTGGATTTCTTTTACTTTATTCTATTTTCTCTCTTTTCGTCGACATAATGTTATGAATATGGAGCCTAAGAACCTAACACAATTAAAACAGAATATTAATTCAAGATATTAATCGACAACAATAATATGATGCATATGTAATACGAAGCCCAATAATGAATAATTAAAAGAATAATCTAACACAATCAAATAGAATATCAATTTAAAATATTAATCTTAATTAGAGCTGGCAAAACGGGCTCGGCTCGGCGGGTCAACCCGCTCAACCCGCCAAACGGGGCGGGGTGGGCTCATTTTTTAGCGGGTTGATGGCGGGTATAGACGGGTCGAGGCGGGTTAGTGTAAAATAGGCTCGGGCTGGCGAGTCAACCCGCCAAACGGGGCGGGGCAGGCTGAGTTTTTTAGCCCACTTCCAAAAGCGGGGCGGACTGGCTCATTTTTTGGCGGAGTGATAGCGGGGCGGAGCGGGCCGCCCACTTTGACATCTCTAATCTTAATACATCAGTGATAAAATTGATTTGTGCTTTTAGAAAAAACACAAAAGATTCAAAATTCAAATATTTACATTAAATTCTATAAATAAGAAATAAAATTTATAATATTCTATAATCTATATTTATTATGAGATATATTTTTCTTATGTTGTAAGAAAAAAAATACCTCTCATATTATATAAATAAAAGTATAAGTGAAATACACATATAAGAGGATAAAAAAAAAATGATAAGACCTAACCCTTTTTAACCCTTTTTGTGTCTGTAGAGCGTTGTTTATCTCATTTACATAATCCATTCATTATACACTTAAACCCTTTAGCCAATATTCAAAATTATCTAATTCATATAGACATCAACTAATCTCTGAGCTCTTGAGCACAGAACACATGGGATCGTCAGCGATGGTGTTGGACCCTAAGTCCTTATCGGAACCGCCACCGTTTCTTCCGTCGACGAAATCCGATTACCTGCAAGGCGGCGATGACGAAGACGACCTCTACAGCCCCTTCATGTCGCAGCAGAGACAGCTAGAATTCAGCGATATCCAAGAGGAGTACGTGAAGGACGAACAAAAGAACCTGAAGCGCGAGCTTCTTCGCGGGCAAGAAGAGGTGAAGAGGATCCAATCCGTTCCTCTTGTAATTGGCCAGTTCATGGAGATGGTCGACCAGAACAACGGCATTGTCGGATCCACATCGGGATCCAACTACTACGTTCGGATCCTCAGCACCGTCAACCGCGAGCTCCTCAAACCCTCCGCCTCCGTCGCCCTCCACTGCCACTCCAACGCGCTCGTAGATGTTCTGCCGCCGGAGGCCGACTCCAGCATCTCCCTCCTTAGCCAGTCCGAGAAGCCTGATGTCACTTATAATGTCAGTTCCTTAACAATTTTTACCTATTGGTTTTGGATTATCGGCTTCTTTTGCCAGAAAAACGAAATCTAGGGTTTTGCTTTTAGTGCTAATTTAGTGTCTGTTTCATTGTATTCTGGTTTTTTATTTTTTTTTTCTTAAAACTGTTTTGAAAAATAGTTACGAAACCGTTGTTTTTTATATTTTTTTCTTCTTGAAAGTTAAAAATCAAAACAAAAAACAAAAATAACTCAGACGTATTCTCTAAATTTGATTTTAAAAACAAAAAAATAGTTATAGTTTTCAAAATATTTTTTACAATACATGTGCTACCAAACGAGTTTTTTAGTTCTGAAAACTAAAAAATTGTTTTTTACAACGATAATCAAACAGAGCCTTAATTATTCTTTCTGTGTTTTTTGGGAGTTTATTAATTTATTTTAGGGTTTAAATTGTCTCCGGTTGGTTACCAGAGACAATTATCTTACGTCAGTTAGATATAAAAAATTGTGTCATTCTTTTTTTTTTTTAAATGATGGTGACACATAATTTGTTTATAACATGATACAATTAATAAATCCCTTTATTTTATGTTATAATGTTTTCTGTTGTTATTCTGGGTTGGGATCGAATGTGTGTTAATATGGTGTCAATCCTAGTCTTATTGTTTGGAGGTGATGTAGTGTTTTTGTTTTCTTTATGTGATCTGTCCATACCATCTTATTATGGTTTTGATTGTTTTAGGACATTGGAGGATGTGATATCCAAAAGCAGGAAATTCGTGAGGCTGTAGAGCTACCCCTTACACATCATGAACTATACAAACAAATTGGTATTGATCCTCCACGTGGTGTTCTTCTATATGGGCCCCCTGGCACTGGTAAAACAATGCTTGCCAAAGCTGTTGCTAATCACACCACTGCTGCCTTCATCAGGGTTGTGGGATCTGAGTTTGTGCAGAAGTATCTTGGTGAGGTATGATTTTGAAGTCATCTGCATTTGAGTTGATGTTAACAATATTATAACTTTGCTGCTGTAGTTTGTTTTTGAAGATAATGGATTCCCGATTCATAGCATTGATGTTGTTGCGTTATATTTAGTAATTTTGTTTCGATTTTGTGGATTGTATATATTTTATTGGGATTTCATTAGTGTGTTGTTTCCTGTCCATAATGGACTGGAAACAACTACTATGGTCCTAAAGTTTCTTGGGTGTGTCAAAATTCATATTATCTTCCTAGAAAGAAGAATTAATTGTTTATCAATTATATACTGCAATATCTTCAAATCTTCTCTGCTATTTATATTTCAGGGTCCACGGATGGTACGTGATGTATTTCGTCTTGCAAAAGAGAATGCCCCTGCAATTATATTTATCGATGAGGTTGATGCAATAGCTACTGCTAGATTTGATGCCCAAACTGGAGCTGATAGAGAAGTACAGCGTATCCTCATGGAACTTTTGAATCAGGTATCTATAAAAAGATATTTCTGTCAGGTTCAATGAGTATTTATTATGAATACGCCTCCTTTTTGGTTTTAGATATTCTCTGAATTTCTGGTTTAATTACCTGTTGTTTTGTTCAGATGGATGGTTTTGACCAAACAGTAAATGTTAAGGTCATCATGGCAACTAACCGAGCTGACACTTTGGATCCTGCTCTTTTGCGTCCTGGGAGGCTTGATCGCAAAATTGAGTTCCCTTTACCTGATAGACGCCAAAAGAGGCTTGTATTTCAGGCAAGTCTTCTGGAAATTCTGTGTTTTAATTTTCTACTGTGTCGGTATTCCATGTTTATAGATGCAATTGGTCATTTTATATTTCATGAGTGATGAATTTCTGATTGTTTTGGAGATCTTCAGATGCATTTATATAGAATTATTTAATACCTTACTTTCAGCTGCTTGCTAGCCTATTATTTGATGGTTTACTTTTGAACAGGTTTGCACAGCCAAAATGAACTTGAGTGATGAGGTGGATCTGGAGGATTACGTTTCTCGTCCCGACAAAATTAGTGCAGCTGAGGTTGGTTCAAATCTAATTCAATAGTTTTGATGATGTTAATCATTTTATGTAAGCACACTAGTTATTAATTACATGATCATAAATGATTTATCCAGTTATTGAAATTTTTAAAAATTTCTTGTTTTTCACTTCCATCATCGTGCAAGAAGGCTTAAAGCAACTTTGAAAACTTACTTGGGGAGTGGTTGGCAGCTTCTTTGAAAATCTCTTTTTTACAATTTTCAAGACTTGTGGAAAATAAGCTGCTGCTTTTGACAGTTTTGTTTGAAATGAAAACTGATTTTTGAAAGAAAATTATCATGTTTCTTTATTTAAGGTACTTTAGATTAATTGTTTAGCTCGATTGCATTGTTTCATGGGGGAAACATGGGGGAAATCGCTGAACACAGAGTTGAAGCTATTTTCTTAATGTAGTTTTTCATAATCAAAATATTTATGCAAGTAGATGGGATTAATTGTTATTATTGTGAGAAGGAGACAAGAAGCAAATTTTTTAGAAGTATAACTTCAAAATACAAGATTACCATCTCAATAGTTCTTTGTATTATATAAACGGCATTAATTATTTGATGATTGTTGGTGCTTGCAGATATCAGCTATTTGTCAAGAAGCAGGAATGCATGCTGTTCGTAAGAATAGATATGTAATACTGCCAAAGGACTTTGAAAAGGGTTATAGGACGAATGTGAAGAAGCCTGATACTGACTTCGACTTTTACAAGTGATGACGAGTGTTAGCTTTCTGCTTTGTTTTTTCGCGCCCGCCGGGTGCGTGGTGTCTGTGCAGAATTCATGTAGTTTTTTTATTTTTTTTGGTAAAAAAATTCATGTAGTTAAGGGTACACTTCATGCATCATATCAATATTTATGAGAAATGATACAGTGTTTTGGTTGCAAACTTTTCATCTCAATATGTAGATCATTAAATTTACTGAGCAGATTAACTTTGGCAGCTGAATATATTGAGTACATATTGTATGTTTGATTACTGAGGACTCTTGCGACATGTTTGGACGAGTTTTTGAAAGAAAAAAAAAAAGGACTTTTACGTCTTGTTTTAGAAGAACTTTTTGTAAAAGTTAAAATTATTTTGTATTTGAATTTAATACGTGAAAAATATTTTTTACTAAAAAATGTATTTAGATGTAAAAATTAAAAAGCAATTTTATGCTACTAAAAAAGAATATAACAATAAATCATGAAAGTAAAATTTGATGGTGGCGGCATTATATTGGTGGGAGGTGTCCGGTGGGATTGGTTGAGATCGAGTTGGGTCTTGCACTCACACGGCATTCTGACATGTTAATTCTAAAAAATGTTAAATTTTGACACTTTAGGACACGTTTTGATATTATATAATATTTTTAATTTATGTAATGTATATTATATTTAGTATTCAATAATTTAAAAATAAAATAAAGCTAAATTTATAATATTCATCAATTTTGTAAAAAAACATAATATATCCTGAATGTTTATATTAAACTCAATAAAATCGTAATCGTAATCTTAACGAATTTAATAGTTGGAACTCAAAATACAATGTAACGTAATCTTTAAACCTTTTTTATGTCTTTGCAACGAGTGTGAGAGTGTCGAAAAGTGTCGGACATGATACGTCAAGATTTTTGAAGTGTCGGTGCTTTATAGGTTGAGGTTAATTTTTGCTGTTTCAATCTCAGGGCATTGGAATTATCGTCAAGTTCTCTGGATTTTGGTAATTGTCATTCGTTGGTTTCGAAGCGGGTACATGTTGATTGGAAGAAATACTACAACTTCGAGTCAAGTTTTAACATATGAGAGCAATCCGAAATCCATAGAACCAATTTTACCAAAATATCTGCCCCGCATTAATCTGTGGAGACTTTAAGGATATATATATATTTTTTTTTACTTCTATTGTTTTTAACAAGGTAGAAATTTTAGTTAAAAAGAAAATAAGATTTTGATTTTTTAAAAAAAAATTGATATTCAAAGATTCAATTTTAGCTATAAGCGTTTTTTTGGAAAAGTAAATTTTGGAGGAAAGAAATTTCATACAGACATGCTCATATTCTCAATTCTCATCGTATCCAATAAATACTTTTTGTATGTATACCGTGTATTTATTTTTAAACTATTCAATTCAAAACACTACTAATTGACTCAATAATTTGTATCTTGATTATATAAAAGGGATAGGTTACTTTACCTATCATTTTTTCTGCCTATTTTTGCCTATTACTCTAAAACACTGTTCGACCAGAATCTTAACTAACATTTATCTTTCTCTCTATTCTTGAGATTCTGATCTAACGATGTTGGATAGTGTTAGGCACAAGTAGACATAAAAAGTGATAGATAGAATAACATATCTCTATATAAAATATGTAAATACCAGTGCCAGTTTCCCAAAAATATTATGCTGACACAGTGCACTGAATGTATTTTACATCAAGGGATACATTTTACCTGAAACTCGTCTAATGTTGTCGGGTTGTTTGGTATGTTTAGTATTTCTTTCGGATTTGAATCCTTTCATGTGAAAAAATAATCACGAAGTCCTGTTATTTGATTATAAATATTTATTTAAAAATCATATATTTTTCTCTCTCTTATATCATCATCAATGAATAGTTGTGATCAATAATATTATCACATGACTACTTTTTCACATGAGAAGATCCAAATTCATTTCTTTCCTAAATTTGATTGGATAAGTTTGTGGTTTGTAGCCAAGATAAACTTTTTTATACTTTTTGGTAGCAGAAAGTTTATAATTTTAATTATTGTTTATAGGCTTTGAGTCTCTCAATCAAAATGAGAGTTTTCGGTTTTTCAGCAAACAGATAAAATATGGTACCAATTGGTTGATTTGATATTCCAATAGGTTGCCTTTAAATAGGCTGAATTGAATACAATAAGAATCAACAATATTAACAAACCTAAAAGCTGGAACTATCCTAAAATAACTGAGAATAATCGAATATGTTGCTAACAACTAGGATTACAAGCTAACAACTAGGATTACAACAAACTGAATATCTTATATGATAAGATGTCTATCTACATGATAAGGTCATATCTCCAACACTCCCCCTCAAGTTGGAGCATGTAAGGATGAAATACCCAACTTGGGAAGGAATGCAAGAAACACGAATTGTCCCAAAGCTTTGGTAAAAAGATATGCCAGTTAGGATGAAGATCGAACATGTGAAGTAGCAATGGTGTTCGCCTGAATATGTTCTCGAACGAAATGGCAATCCAGCTCAATGTGTTTCGTCTGCTCATGAAAAACGGGATTAGCAGCAATGTGAAGTGCTGCTGTATTAACAAAAAATAACTGCATGAGTATCATATGAATTACACCAAGAGAAGCAAGAAATCCTTTTAACCAAACTAACTCTGCTATAGCAGCTGCCATGACTCTATACTCAGCTTCAGCAGAAGATCGTGCAACTGTGACATGTTTCTTCATTCTCCATGAAATAGGTGATGTGCCCAACATAACAAAATATCCAGTAACAGATCTTCTTGTGAGAGGACAAGAAGCCCAATCAGAATCACAATACGCATGGATTTGGAGATCACGTGTGGTTTTCAATAAAAGTCCTTGACCAGGATTTTGTTTCACGTACCTTAACACTCGTAGAACAACATCATAGTGAATTTGCTTTGGATGCTGCATAAATTGAGAAAGAACATGAATAGCATAGCTCAAGTCTGGTCTTGTGATGTTTAGATAAATCAACTTGCCAATCAATCTTCTATATCTCTCAGGATTATCAATGTCTGGTCCGTTAGCAAGGCCAAGTCGATGATTTTGTTCAATAGGGGACATAGCTGGTTTGCTCCACTAAGACCTGCTTCATGTAAAATATCAAGAGCATATTTTCGCTGACACATAAGTATTCCTTCTTTGTTACGGGCTATTTCAATCCCAAGAAAATATTTCAGCTTGCCTAAATCCTTGATTTTAAAGCACTTGTTTAAATATTCCTTGACTTGATCGCATGCTTGAGTATTATTTCCTGCCAAAACCATATCATCAACATAAACCAGGAGAGCAAGAAAGATATCACCTCTTTGGAATGTGAACAAAGTGTAATCAGCATGAGATTATTGAAACTCGTATTTTATAAGCGATGAGCTCAATTTGCTAAACTAGTTTCTTGGGGATTGTCTTAAACCATAGAGTGACTTTTTCAAACGGTAAACTTGATCTTTGGTTCCATTACTAAATCCTGGTGGAAACTTTATATACACCTCTTCACTAAGCTCTCCATTTAGAAAAGCATTATGCACATCTAGTTGATGTAGTTCCCACTGCTTAGCTGCTGCAACAGCCAAAAGAGTTCCAACAATTGTCATTTTTGCAACTGGCGCATATGTCTCACCACAGTCTTCTCTTTCTATTTGATGGTTACCTGCAATAACTAACCGTGCCTTATATCTTTCCACGGTTCCATCAGAATGATATTTAATCTTGAAAACCCATGTGCTAGGTATGCTCTTCGACCAGATGGCAAAGACGTGACTGCCCAAGTCCCATTATCCTCCAGTGCAGTGATTTCTTTTCTCGTAGCATCTACCCATTTCGAATTTTGCGGGCTTCTCTGAAATGGCGAGGCTCACATCCTGCATCAATAGCTGCTACAAATGCACGGTGGGATGGAGAAAATTTAGATAAACTTAGAAAATTACATAATGGATATTTAATACTTGACCTTGCATGTGAGGAGTGACTGAGTTGGGCAGCAGGAAAAGAGTTATGTGTTCAATAGCATGGCATTCATAATCTTGGAGATAAGATGGAACTTTGCGTGCTCGCTGTCATCTTCCTTCTTTATGGTGCGGCATGGATGAACATGGTGCAGTATTTTCTGCGGTTTGCAGCGCTGAAGGTGTAGTATTGTCTTCGGTTTGCAGCACTAAAGAACACGGTGCAGGAGTTACTTTTTCGGTTTGGAGCGGTGAATTTTGTGGTGCAACATCACTACCCTTGACTTCTGTATTGCCTTCGGTTATGGCTGCATGGTTTGCGTCATTAATGGTGGGCTGTGACAGCAACATGGATGCATCTTGTAGAGGATCATTTGGCTTACTAGATGCATGCAATGATGATGAAGACAAGGGAAAAATATCTTCATAAAATTTCACATCTCTGCATACAAAAAAATCGTTACTCTCTAAATCATATACTCTCCAACCCTTCTGGTCAACAGGATATCCTACAAACAAGCATTTGTGGGATCGAGAAGCAAATTTATCCGCAGGTTTGGGTCTCACATTAGCAAAGCACAAACATCCAAAAGTCTTCAAGTGTTCATATTTTGGAACTACCCCATATAATAAATCATGAGGTGTACGACCAGAGAGGATTTTGGATGGTGTTCTATTAATCAAATGGACTCCTGCAAGCACACTTTCTTCCCAAAAATCAATGGATAAATTGGCCTGAAACAGTAATGCTCGAGATACATTGAGAATGTGTCTATGTTTTCGTCTACCCTTCCATTTTGTTCCGGTGTATAAACACAAGATGTTTGATGAATTATCCCATTTTCGTGATATAGTTGCAGCAATTTATTAGATTTAAATTCAGACCCATTATCAGAACGTAAAATTTTTATCATCTTTCCAAATTGTGTTCTGATCATAGCTACAAATTTTTGAATACGATCGCAAGTCTCTTTCTTTTCAGCTAACATATACACCCAAACAAATCGACTGAAATCATCAACAATTGTTAAAAAATAATGTACACCTGAAGAAGAAGAAGAATGATAGGGTCCCCATGTATGACAGTGAATTAAATCAAAACATTGTTTACTTTGATTACTATTGGAATGAAACATAGTCCTAGTGTGTTTAGCACGACAACAGATGGCACATGCCGTATTATTTACTGCAATTTTAGCTGAAACATGGGAAAATAAAGGAAGCAAAGACACAACTTCATAGGATGGATGACCCAATCGCATGTGCCACAACTCTGCAGACTCTTGAACCCTTACGGTTGAAACTGAAGCATGCTTTGGTTGAAACACATAAACTCCTGCATGAACATCACCAAATCCAGTCTCCCTCATTAATGCTTGGTCCTGCAAAATACATTTTCCATTAGTAAAAATCACTTTGTTGTTACTCTGCTGCAATAATTGAGAAATTGAGATCAAATTGCAGCGCAAATGTGGGACAAACAAGACGTCTGACAATATAAAATTGTTATTAAACACCATTGTCCCTTGTTGTTCTGTATGAGTAATTGCACCATTAGGTAACCCCACTGCTAGAGGTTTAATCTTTCTAACATCAGTCAATAAATCCAATGTGCCTGTCATATGCTGAGGCACCACTATCAATAAGCCATTGAGATTGAGTAGCCTTACCAGACAATTTGTCAGTGGTTTGATTTGTTTGAGAGTTATCTACCAATGTCATGAGTTTATGCACCACTTCAGGAGTAAGAACCGAGAACGCAGCTGCTGTCGGTGAAGACGACACGGTTGCTGGTTGAGGAACGTCAGATGTTTGCATGGCATATACTTGTTCATGAGAACCACGTCCGCAAATACGTCCCCTTCCCCGTTCGCGAGTTGCTCCACGAATAGGTAGAAAACCAATAATTTTCCAGCAACGAGATGGATCATGGTTGGTCTTCCCATAATGAGGACATGGAGGATGAACCACTGGTTGGTCCGCAAGCATACGTTGCTCGTTAGGGTCTCGTCCGCCACTGGCTTCAGTGCGGGCTGCATAGCCAATGACAGCTCTGCGATCATCATGGCCGCGGGCAATGGCGCGGTGTGTCTCCTCCTGTGTAACAATGCATAAACTTTATTAAGAGTTGGAAGAGGAGTAGTATTAAGAATCTAAGAACGTAAGTTCCTAAAGGACGCCTCATCCAATCCCATAAGGAATTGATACACGCGTTCATATTCTCTGCCTTCTTCTATCTCTTTCGCCAATGCGCAATTATCTCCACAAACGCATGATTTGGAAATCTTGCCACCTTCGAGCTCATCCCAGATCGCGCGGAGCTTGCTGTAATATTCACCAATAGTACTTCCTTGTTGTCGTGTGTTTGTGAGAGCAGCTCTGAGTTGATACTGTTTTGGAAAATTCTGAACAACATACCTCTCCTTCAAGTCCTCCCACAAATCTTTGACGTCATCAAAGCACTTAATAAAAGGTTGTAATTTGGCATCAATGGTGTTGCGAATCCACCCATTGATCATGGAGTTGCACATCTCCCATGCACACCATTCGTCTTGGATCTCCTTGTCTGGTTTTTTGATAGAGCCATCTATGAAACTGGTTTTATTTTTGGCCTTGAGAGCGTTTTTCATGAGCTTTGCCCAATTTTCGTAATTGGCCTCCCCTCGCAGCATGACGGTCGTCAAGATGACACCAGGGTTACTCGAACCGCCTAAGTAGAATGGAGATGCGGGATCGGAAGTCTTAAGACTGTTGCTGTTACCGCCTGGAGCCAAATGCGATTTGGACAAGCTTTCGCCCTCTGTAGGTGTTGCGAAAGTATGGTTATGGAAAGCTCTGATACCAAGATAAAATATGGTACCAATTGGTTGATTTGATATTCCAATAGGTTGCCTTTAAATAGGCTGAATTGAATACAATAAGAATCAGCAAAATATTAACAAACCTAACAAACCTAAAAGCTGGAACTATCCTAAAATAACTGAGAATAATCGAATATGTTGCTAACAACTAGGATTACAACAAACTAAATATCTTATATGAAAAGATGTCTATCTACATGATAAGGTCATATCTCCAACACAAACACAAAAGTATAATGGGGTTCACCATGTCTTTATTTTATTTTTTTAATTTGAGTCACATGGCAAGAGAATAGGCTTTTTCGGTAACATGAAAAACTATTCTCCTATTGTTTATGAATTCCTTTTTTCTCATGTTATAGAAAATTCCTGCAACCGTATTCTCGATGCAAATGATTGCAGGGTTGTTTCAAGCAACGAGTTGGCCTTCTGTTGTTGCTGTGATTGGTAACTGGTTTGGAAAGACGAATAGGGAACTTATAATGGGTGTTTGGAATGCTCACACTTTTGTTGGTAACATTAGTGGTTCTCTTCTTGCTGCTAGTGTTTTGGATTATGGGTGGGGTTGGTCCTTTTTTATCCCTGGGGTTATTGTTTATTTGTTCTGGCCTACTTATCTAGAGGATGTGTGGTTTGCAAAATCCCACATGCCTGAAGTTAATCAAAATCTCAAAACCAGATATATGTTTTTTTGGGAAATGTTTTGAAGCATTTCTTGAATCTTGCTGAGTGTGAACCATGGACTTTGATACGTCCCAGAAATCTGACAGAGTAGTTGTTCTCCACGTGCAATACTTGCTTTTAAGGGGGGTGTTTAGTAGCGGAAAAAATTATTTTTGTTCAAGAATCATGATTATCATAAATATATTAGGAAAATGAATTTATCGGGAATGTAACCAAAAAATTATTTGATAGGCAAAAATATTATTAAGAACAGACTCAAGTTTACTAATTCTGTATTTGATTAATTGTTAAATATTATTAAGAATATCAAATTTTCTTAATATCCGAGATTTCAAGAATATTACCCTGTCGGTATTATTTTTGGATGTTATTTTACTATACAATTTGTTCATAAATCAGAATCTTAAAAAAATCAGATTTTCAAATAAATTTCTGTCAAACGTGAATAAATAAAATTTGCAAAATTTATTTTTCAGAAATAAAAAAAAATTCCATATATCAGTATTTGGTAGTGTATATCGAAGAAGGCACTTTTCACACAAAGTGAACCTGCCTAGTAGAATATGTCAAATACTGTGCGAGTGAAACAAGAATATTTGGCGGTGGCAACCTGAGAACGTTCAAGAAGCTTATGCTTGCTACCCTCTGCCATTGGAGGGAAGCTTATGATTTAGTTTGATTTCTATCATGAGAAAAATCAAATACTTAAAATTGGCATATTATAGTATATAGAAATTAAATAGGATATTTTCTAATAAAATAAAATAAAGGAAGACAAACCAAAAGATAATATAAAAAAAAATATTACTCTCATATTACATGAGAGTAGTTCTTTCATACTATAGAAAAAATCTAAGTGAAGTACCTATTAAAAAGCAAAAAAAGAAAAAGAAGAGAGGGTGCAATTTTTGAAGTGAAAAAACATAAGATAATTATCTCATAAAATTAGAGAAAAATTTTGTATAAAAAAAAATAATCAAGCTGAAATCAAGAAAATATTAGGCCACGCTTAGCTTATGCGTGTCTTTCTATTGGGCTAGATGTATTTTTTTTTTCTTGAGACACAGCTTAAGTTTAAATATTAGTGGTCATGTCTAATTTTGGATATATTTAAGTGTAATAAGTCTATATTTAGTTATAAAATAACTATATTTTCATAAATAATTATGAAAAAATAATATTTAATTTTTTTTTTGGCAAGAGTTTAGATTCTAGTTAGTAGTACCTTTGTTTTTTTTTTTTTTTTTTTATACATATAGCTTTGTTGTTTTTGCTTTAGCCTTTTGCAATACTCTTATACCAATTTTTATTTTTTTTGAAAAAAGTGAAAATTTTAAATCTTATAAGCATTACTTGTTGAAAATATCTTTAAAGTTTAATTTTTAATTTCATTATTTTTATGAAAATTTTCTATTAAAACCTAAAAGGCATGTATTATCGTAAATCAACGATGGAATTTCTTCGGTAACACGGATACGAGTTCGTTTTCATCATTCTATCTTTTGTGGCGAAAATATTAAAAAAAAGTAGGTGTTTGTCATTATAAATTATGTCGTTTTAAGAGAGATAGATATAAAAAATAAAAATTATGGGAGTAAGAAAGTGGATAATTTTATTTTAATTTTAAATAATTTTTTTTGTGTCTATCTATCTCTTATAATTATAACTTTATATCATAAATAACAAATATTTTTCTCCTATTAAAAAAGATAAACACTTTTTTTTTTTTTTTTTTTTTTTTTTTTTTTTCAGATAAACAGCATTTCCAATTCCAAACCCTATTCGCCCAAACTCCTGGTTTTCTTTCACTCTATTCATTCTTCTCTTTCTCTCTCTCTCTTCATCAACAAGCATGGGATCCTCAGCGATGGTGTTGGACCCTAAGCCCTTATCGGAACCGCCACCGTTCCTTCCGTCGACGAAATCGGACTACATGCAAGGCGGCGATCCAAGCTCCGACGAAGACGACCTCTACAGCCGCCTCAAGTCGCTGCAGAGACAGCTAGAGTTCATCGACATCCAAGAGGAGTACGTTAAGGACGAACAAAAGAACCTGAAGCGTGAGCTTCTACGTGCGCAAGAAGAGGTGAAGAGGATCCAATCCGTTCCTCTTGTAATTGGCCAGTTCATGGAGATGGTCGACCAGAACAACGGCATCGTCGGATCCACAACCGGATCCAACTACTATGTTCGGATCCTCAGCACCATCAACCGCGAGCTCCTCAAACCCTCCGCCTCTGTCGCCCTCCACCGCCACTCCAATGCGCTCGTCGATGTTCTGCCGCCGGAGGCCGACTCCAGCATCTCCCTCCTCAGCCAGTCCGAGAAGCCTGATGTCACTTATAATGTCAGTTCGTTAAATTTTTTTACCTATTGGTTTTGGATTATCGATTTCTTTTGAAAGTAAAACGAAATCTAGGGTTTTGCTTTTAGTGCTAATTTAGTTATTTTTGTTTTTTGTAATGATTTTCAATTGCAGTTTGATCCGTTTTAGTTGAGGAGAAATGAAAATTTAGCTTTTGTATTTGTGGTTTGAACTGCTTCGATAAAATCTAAATGGAATTAGTAATAAATTATTTGCTGAAGAGGAACTGGACTTTGAATTCGTGCATTGCTTTTTGTGTTTTTTTGGGGAGTTTATTAATTTATTTTATGTTATAATGTTTTCTGTTGTTATTCTGGGTTCGGATTGAATGTGTCTTAATATTGTGTCAATCCTAGTCTTATTGTTTGGAGGTGATGTAGCGTCTTTTCTTTCTGTGAGTGAGTGTTGGGATATCGTTAAACCTAGAGGAGACTACTTGGTCTCTTCTAGGATGTTAAAGAATGTTTTAGCTAAGATATTTTTGAAGTGAATCTAGGACTTTGATTTTGATGAGACAGTTAAATCAGATACATATTGTCTGATTAAACTTTGAATTAAGAGGGGATAAATGTCTTCTGTTATTGCTCAATATCTGCGGATTTTTGGGCTCATTCTAAAAACTGAATTGTCATTACATTCACAGAGGTTCTTTTATAGTTTGTTTAGGATAAGACCCCCGGGATATGTACAAGTGTTAGAGACAATGCCCCAGATAGTTAGCCTTAACCGCACTTACCATATAAACTGTTGAGTTCACTTTGGAGAATTCAAGTTTCTCGGGTTTGTCGTTGCAATTTAACCAGAGTAGAATCTTCTTACTTCAAGTGTGAGAGTGAGACCCATAATTGAGCTTGGGGGAGTTTCCTTAACCTTAACTCTTTATTTGTAGCTTGAAATCCTGGATTCCGATGCCAGAGGTTGCCGCACATAGCTGATTAGATATTCATTAAATTATATGCTATACGAGTAGGTCCCTCATATATGAGTATCAAGTGGCAACTTGACCTTTTAAGAAATGAAATGGTGTCTAATGTAGAAGATGAGAGTGGTGATGAAGTGTGATACAGGAACATTATTTCTGCTGTATTATTTATTTTGGTTTAGCCAATGGCACTGATACTAACAAGGATTAGCGATTGCTTTTTGTGGTATATTTCTTAGGCCTTCTGTTTAGTATGTATTGTTGTCATATTTAGCTTCTTTTATGTCGTCTGTCTGTACCATCTTATTATGGTTTTTATTGTTTTAGGACATTGGAGGATGTGATATCCAAAAGCAGGAAATTCGTGAGGCTGTAGAGCTACCCCTTACACATCATGAACTATACAAACAAATTGGTATTGATCCTCCACGTGGTGTTCTTCTATATGGTCCCCCTGGCACTGGTAAAACAATGCTTGCCAAAGCTGTTGCTAATCACACCACTGCTGCCTTCATCAGGGTTGTGGGATCTGAGTTTGTGCAGAAGTATCTTGGTGAGGTATGATTTTGAAGTCATCTGCATTTGAGTTGATGTTAACAATATTATAACTTTGCTGCTGTAGTTTGTTTTTGAAGATAATGGATTCCCGATTCATAGCATTGATGTTGTTGCGTTATATTTAGTAATTTTGTTTCGATTTTGTGGATTGTATATATTTTATTGGGATTTCATTAGTGTGTTGTTTCCTGTCCATTATGGACAGGAAACAACAACTATGGTCCTAAAGTTTCTTGGGTGTGTCAAAATTCATATTATCTTCCTAGAAAGAAGAATTAATTGTTTATCAATTATTTACTGCAATATCTTCAGATCTTCGCTGCTATTTATATTTCAGGGTCCACGGATGGTACGTGATGTATTTCGTCTTGCAAAAGAGAATGCCCCTGCAATTATATTTATCGATGAGGTTGATGCAATAGCTACTGCTAGATTTGATGCCCAAACTGGAGCTGATAGAGAAGTACAGCGTATCCTCATGGAACTTTTGAATCAGGTATCTATAAAAAGATATTTCTGTCAGGTTTAATAAGAGTGCTGTTGGTTATTCTTACCAAACCCTGCTGAGCTACAGTGGTTTAGTCTTCACTTATCTCTTAACCGTTGGCTCTTTATTTTGAATACACTTCCTCTTTGGTTTTAGATATTCTCTGAATTTCTGGTTTAATTACATGTTTCTTTTGTTCAGATGGATGGTTTTGACCAAACAGTAAATGTTAAAGTCATCATGGCAACTAACCGAGCAGACACTTTGGATCCTGCTCTTTTGCGTCCTGGAAGGCTTGATCGCAAGATTGAGTTCCCTTTACCTGATAGACGCCAAAAGAGGCTTGTATTTCAGGCAAGTCTTTTGGCTATTCTATGTGTTATAATTTTATACTGTGTCGGTATTCCATGTTTATAGATGCAATAGGACATTTTATATTTCATGTGTGATAAATTTCTGTTTGTTTTGCAGACCTTCAGATGCATTTATATTGAATTATTTAATACCTTACTTTCAGCTGCTTGCTAGCCTATTATTTGATGGTTTACTATTGAACAGGTTTGCACAGCCAAAATGAACTTGGGTGATGAGGTGGATCTGGAGGATTACGTTTCTCGTCCCGACAAAATTAGTGCAGCTGAGGTTGGTTCAAATCTAATTCAATAGTTTTCATGATGTTAATCATCTTATGGAGGCACACTAGTTATTAATTACATGCTCATAAATGATTTATCCAATTATTGAAACTTTTTAAAATTTCTTGTTTTTCACTTCCATCATCATGCAAGAAGGCTTAAAGCAACTTTGAAAACTTACTTGAGTGGGTGGCAGCTTCTTTGAAAATCTCTGTTACAATTTTTGAATATAGTTGAAGACTTGTGGAAAATAAGCTGCAGCTTTTGACAGTTTTTTTTTTTAAATGAAACTGATGTTTTAAAGAAAATTATCATGTTTCTTTATTTAAGGTACTTTAGATTAATTGATTAGCTCGATTGCATTACTGCATGGGGGAAACCTGGGTGAAATCACTGAACACAGAGTTGAAGCTATTCTCTTAATGTAGTTTTCCAAAATCAAAATGTTTATGTAAATAGATGGGATTGTGGGAAGTGAATTGTTATTATTGTGTGAAGGATTATTCTGTGGAGGATTTGTTGCTTGAATATATTTTCAGCAAGGCTTCTTGCAGGCTGCCCTCAATGGGAAGAGGGTGGTATGCCGGGAGCAATGGTGTATAGTTGAGGTAGAAACTTCATATTCTAGATTAGAATTTAGAAACAGCAGATGGGGGAGAAAGATGAAAGGCACAATTGTTTGATTTAACAATAAGATTTTTATGTATGATCTTGCTATACAATTTCTCCCACCCTCACAGATTAACAAGCAACAAACCTTCCTCCATTTTCAACCTTCCAAGGCCTCAAAAGTCTAAAGTTGCACTTAAGATTATATACATAAATTTTAGTTTTAACTTTGGTACTGAAAGAGATAGCGGTGAGAGGAAAGAGAAGCAGCAAATTTTTTAGAAGTTTAACGTCAAAATACAAGATTACCATCTCAACAGTTCTTTGTATTATATAAACGGCATTAATTATTTGATGATTGTTGGTGCCTGCAGATAGCAGCTATTTGTCAAGAAGCAGGAATGCATGCTGTTCGTAAGAATAGATATGTCATACTGCCAAAGGACTTTGAAAAGGGTTATAGGACGAATGTGAAGAAGCCTGACACTGACTTTGAATTTTACAAGTGATGACGAGTGTTAGCTTTCTGGTTCGTTTGTGCGCGCGCCGGGTGCGTGGTGTCCGTGAAGAATTCATGTAGTTAAGGGTACACTTATGCATCATATCAATATTTATGAGAAATGATACAATGTTTCTGTTTTAACTTTTCATCTCAATATGTAGATCATTAAATTTACTGAGCAGATTAACTTTGGCAGCTGAATATTGAGTACATATTGTTTGATTACTGAAGACTCTTGTGACATGTTTGGAATATCAGTGTTTTTTATTTTTAAAAAATGACTTTTACGTCTTGTTTTAGAAGGACTTTTTGTAGAAGTTAAAATTATTTTGTATTTGAATTTAATATGTAAAAAAAAATTTAATGAAAAAAATTATTTAGATGTAAATGTTAAAAAGCAATTTTATGCTACTAAAAAAGAATGTAAAAATCATGAAATTAAAATTTGATTGTGGCGGCAATATTGATGGTGTCCGGTGGGATTGGTTGAGGATCGGTTGTGGTTAATTTTGGAGTTTGAATCCGAGGGAGTGCTTTGAATTATCGTCAATTTTCGAGTCAAGTTTTCTGGATTTTGGTAATTGTTATTCGTTGGTTTCGAACTGGGTATGTGTTGATTGGAAGAAATACTACAACTTCGAGTCAAGTGGATCCGAAATCCAGAGAACCAGTTTTGCCAGAATATCTATTTCCCCGCAATAATCCGTGGAGATTTTAAGCAATTTTTTTTGTTTTTGACTTTTATTGTTTTTAACAAGGTAGAAATTTTAGTTAAAAATAAGATTTTGTTTTTTTAAAAAAAAAAAAACTGATATTCAAACATTCATTTATAGCTACACTCATTTTATTTATAAAAGTAAATTTTGGAGGAAAGAAATTTCATACAGACATGCTCATATTAGGGTTTGGAAATCTGAGTCAGAGCCTAAATTTCAAAAATAATTTGGGTGGGTGACTTCCTTGTCTTTGTCTAGAGGGCAAATGTCTCAAGATCAAAACTGGAAAAAATTGTACTCATCCATAGCATGTCTTTAAGTTATACAAGTCCTTAATTTACTTCAAATATTTCTTAATTCTCATTGCATCCAAGAAATACTTTTTGTATGTATACGGTGTATTTATTTTTAAACTATTCAATTCAAAACACTAATTGACTTAATATTTTGTATCTTGATCATATAGAATATGTAAATACCAGTGCCAGTTTCCCAAAAATATTATGCTGACGCAGTGCACTGAATGTAGTTTACATCAAGGGATTATTAATGTTGTCGGGTTCTTTGGTATGTTTAGTATTTTTTCCCTAAATTTGATTGCATAAGTTTGTGGTTTGTAGCCAAGATAAACTTTTTTATACTTTTTGGTAGCAGAAAGTTTATAGTTTTAATTATTGTTTAAATATATATGATTTAAGGGTTATATTTGTCTTATGTTACATAAAAGAGACAAATTTTTTACACACATAAAAGAGGGATGAGTCTCACCTCTTATCTATTGGTTCCATTTATAATTTTATTTCTACTTCATTTGATAATTTTTTTCCTGTAACATAATAAAATTATTTCCCATGATTTAAATATGTATGAATCCATCAATTCCTACTCTGTTTTCATACTCTAGCTACCAAAGAACAAAGAAAGCTTGTCATGAGTTATACATAAAATAATGCATAAAGCAATGTTGAAGTGGTGATTGATGGCATGGTTGGTGATGCAACTTGGTGTAATAAATAAATGCCAGAACCAACACGGTATTTATAGGAATAATTATCCTCATATTTATTCCACTTTTCATAATACACTGAAATGCATTAAAGGCTTATCTGCCTGACTTGTGTGACTGTGTTCATATTCCTTTTATACTTGAGCGACTAAGGAAATTAACTTATTTCTTTTAACATTTAAGGTAAATTATGGTTTGAAATAATGAATTACGAGATTAACATGTCATTAATATATGTAAGACTAATTCGCGTAAAAAAGTATTAATTGCATCACTAGGTTATTCTCCATAGTTGTATCTCATCCTGCCTTGGTTTGGAATATTTACAATCTCACATTATTATTTCTCTCATAATTTCAAATTTTTTCCATAAGTTACAAATCTCATTTTTATATTGTGACACTTAATAAATTGAAGCTCTAGATTTCCGTGGCAACTCGTATAATCTATTTATTATTCAGGTAATGATTTGAGTTGGGTTTTTATTTTATTTTATTTACTATTGATGTTCGTAAATTTTTTCTTTTAACTATTACCATCCTTTAAATTGTGATAAATATTTCTTTTATAAAGTTAAATTATTATATATTATTTCACATTAAATCAATTTGACAATAAAATACGGGATTTATTAATTAAGTAAGAGGAATGTTGACTGTAAAATAAATTAGATGAAAGTATGATTTGGTATAGGAAAACTTCACTTATGTATAATTCAAACATACTTGTAATCTTAAAGAGTGTTTAAAAAAAAAATCATATTTACAATTTAATAATTGTATGACCCTGTTTCGTGTTTTTTCCTTACAATATATACATATAATTTTGAAGTTTATATTCATAATCTTAATTGATCATATTGAATCATTTTAGAGTAGTATAAAAGAGGGAAAAACGAAGTAGGGACTTAACTTTTGTTTTCTCCTTACAATTTCTTTTGTTTTCTTGTATCTCATTAATTCATTTTAGCACACTCCGCAAACCCATTATCTTTTTTAAGCCATATAGTTGCAAGGTCTGGTTCCTAAAAGAGGAAAAAACGAAGTAGGGACTTAACTCTTGTTAAAGTCAAAGCATTAAGCTAAGTAATGAATAAAGGGGGACCATGAGTCATTGAATGCATTTGGAGGACCATGTTCCTCTTGAAATGTTTAGTGAACATGTGACTTTTACTTTTTTACCTCACACTCATCTTAATTTCCATTAAGGTTAACAATAGCATGATAAATGTCTTTCTCTTTGTTGGTTTCCTCATTCTCTCTAACATGAAATTGAAATGGACACATCTGTGCTACTATTTTGGACAAATAAATCCTTGGCTGGGACCTCAGTAGATTTGAGTTTTTTCGTTCTTGTAAACAAATAGTGGTTGAACACTAGCGAATGAGATGCTAGCAAAGGTGATTGTCCCCTTCAAATTTATATAAACATTTAGAAGTAAGCATTATTTTTTATTTTTTGGTAATATATTTTGTGTTTTTCCATCAAAGCTTATAGAAATCTTTAATTATAAACATTATTTTTATTTTTTTATATAAAAAAATTACATTAATTTTGTGTGCATTTAAAATATTTCCACTCTGTCATTGCTTCAAATGAGAACCTCTTGTTGCCAATTAGGTTACAGGGGAGAGGTGGCTTGGTCCTCTACTAAATTATTATGACCCTCTAAACAGGGGAAGTAAGTTATTAGAGTTGGTGAACGGGGCATAAAAAAATTAGAGTGGGGCAAAGAAAAAGGTCTTCATCTAACGTTGTAGAGGTGGAGGTTAAGTTTCATAAGATACACTAAATTAACAACAGGTAGATATCATACATTGTTATAGTTATTTGCAATTATATAAATACTTCCTTCCACTGCGTCAAAGTGTGAGTGGGTTATATAGTATGATTAAAAATGATATATAATAAAAAAATATCAACATTAACATTAAGAATATTAATAAAAAAATATCATATGAAGAAATTGAATTTACGATCAGAAAACAAATGTAAATAAACCAGAAGAGGTAATATGTAAATAGGAAAAGATTCAAAAGAGAGAACATTATTTTTTAAAGGGCATTACTTTTCAGCGGTGGCAGAAAAGTAGTGTCTTCTTCAGAGACAAAAAAAGGATAAAACAATGTAATTTTTTTTTGTCAGAATCCCACATCGTTTTCTGATAATTTTGTATCTATAGCAGACAAAGTATTTCTGTCACAACTGCATAAATGCTTTTGCCTTTTTTAAATTAAAAGTAGTAAAATAAAATTATGAATTTATACGAGAATAGAAATGTTACTTAACATAATATTTAAATGAGATAGGATATTCTTAATATTACCAAATATTTCTACTACCAATCTATTACTATTCTAATATAATTATGTATTTTTGAGAATATATTAAAAACTATTTTTTTTTCTCTCTTCAAAAACTTCTCAGAGGTTATCTGCTAAAAAGTGAAATCCAACGACTAAAAAATAGTAGTCGATTGATAGTAGGAATATTTGATAGTAAGAATATATTGTTGAAGACAATGAGTGATATTAAAATTCATTAAGAAGTTTGAACCCATGTATGAAGCAGATGAGATTATTAATCATAAACACAATGCAATAGAAAAGAATAAAGAACAAACTCACTGTATGTCAGAATATAGAAAAGGAATGAACAAAGTATGCAGAATACTTGAACAAATCCGAGCCCACAGAAAGTATCTCTTTAAGATAATTTGTTCTCTCACTGATATCGAAGGTTGATGAATACTTGTCTCCTAAGATAGAACGGATTGCGTCTGAAGAATGATGGTGTAACACCCTGTGTATACCTGGTTTGTTAACATGTCATCGTATTAAGCCACGCTTAATTAAATTTGCGATTTTCTTTTCTTTTCAATTATGACGTCATTATCATTAGCCAAGTTAATTACTTAATCAATTTCATAAAAACATCGCCTGTATATAAATTGCAAAAGACAGCTAACTGAAATACCTCATAAATAAATAAGTGAGTATCTAAGTCACGAATCTACAACACGTAGTCCGGACATATTCCTGATACAATTATACAACTCGAATAAACTTAACATCATCAAATCAATGTGGCATGGACAATCCCCATGCTCACCAAATAAATAGCATACTCATCAAGTCTCAATACAACAACAGTATAATAATAACCAGTTAATAACATATCATCAGCATATATAAACCAGCATCCAAACATGTCATCATATAAACAACAATATCAGTTAAGCTCCGGCCTCCTGCCGCTAGAGGTCTCAACCTCCGCATTACCTGAACCTGAAAATGGTGCCCCAAACGCAGGGTGAGATCTCTAAACAAAAATCTCAGTAAGACAAGGGGTCCTCAAGGATCTTCCACCCCAAGCTTACTTACATGTGCAATATAAGTTCAAAAGCAGTTTAACAGTATAAGTTCCAAAACCAGTGCAATGCAGCAGATAATCATGTCATGTATGTTATAACTATTCTACTGATCAGAGAAGTGCAGGAATACGTCTATTACCCACACAATACACGCCCATGTTGTACCCGCCCACAGGACCACCCC